ATGGGAGAGATGAGTCCATGTGAGATCTTGTCCATCAGTTCAGGATCCTCATGGAAGGAGCTCAGTTTAAGAGGAGAGGCTGTTCGGGGCGCCTGGGTGGCTCAGTCGGTTGGGCGACTGCCTTCGGCTCAGGTCATGATCCTGGAGTCCCGGGATCAAGTCCCGCATCGGGCTCCCTGCTCAGCGGGGAGTCTGCTTCTGCCTCTCCCGCTCCCCCCTCTTGTGCTCTCTCACTCTCTCTCTCTCTCAAATAAATAAATAAAATCTTAAAAAAAAAAAAAAAAAAAGAAGAGGGGAAGATGCCTTACTTTGAATCCTCACAGCTCCTTACATTCCAGAACACTCTCTCAGTTTCTCTCAATTACTCAGAGACAACAGAGAATTTCTAGAACCAGCCTAGTGCCAGCGAGAGCCTGGTTTGGGGCTTGGTTTCGTCTCTGGCGCAGGCACCATGCTAAGGCTTCCCCTGCCTTATCTCCCCAAGCACTCAGTTCTTTTCCGTCCATACAGCCGGATCCAGGGGTGCGAATGACGTCATCAAGCCTTGGCGTCTCCTTTCTGCCCTCTGCGCTGTCTCACTCTCTCTTGCCTTTTCTCCCACTGGGACCCTGTCCATGCAAGAGCTTCTGTTCCCATTGTTCAACAGTCGGCCCAGAGTCAGGTCTCCCTGGCCTGGCTTGGGTCATGTGCCCATCCATAAGACAATCAGCGTGGCTCACCCGGCGGGGCAGGAGCAGGGGTGAGATGCTAAACCCGGATTGGCCAGGCCTGGGTCAGAGCCCATCCCTGGAGCCCAAGGCGAGGGGTCAGCCACCTAGTTGTGCTCTGGTGGAGGTCAGAGTGCCACAACCAGGGAAGGAAGGAAGGTTGGCCCCGAAGCAGCCACTGTCCCCTTCATCTGATGATTTCCCCAAAGATGCTGTCTATAAACGTCCTTCCTGCTGAACCAGCTTCTGACCTTTCTCAGAAATGTATTCCAATACCTTTGGGAGTATGGCCCGGAGCAGAGCTCAGAGCCCCTTTTAAAGCTATGAGGAACATGCGATGTCTCTGCTTCTCTGCTTGGTAGGAAGAACCTCCTGACCAAGCATCCTATGCGCTTTTGGAGGCATGTGATTTCCGACTCGCTCTTCTCTGAACCTTTTTATTTTCCCTCCACTGTCTCTAAAATCCTAAACCCACTTCACCAGCCTGTGCAAATGGAGAGTGCTTTGATAACGTGACCCGGGGGGATGCGCCGGGGTTGGTAAATATGGCCAATCCTATTAATGTTTTGAAAGGGGATATATGACTTGCTAATTTGCAGATGACACTAATTTTGGGCATTTTGCAAATATCAGCAGTGATGAATAAGAAAGTAGCTGAGAGAGTTGAAACGTGGGAGAGAAATAACAAAATTAATTTCCATTTATATAAATACTAATTGATACACCAGAGGAAAATGAATATGGAATGTGAATATTAGCTCAAACAGGAGAGCAGGTGCTTTTGGAGAAACCCCAAATTAGATGTCCTTGCAGCTCCCTGTGCCAGGCCAGCAAAGGGGCAGCAGGGGAGAGGCTGGGGGGGGCCCCTCCTGTTTTCCCCCGGGGAGGTGGCATTTCTCCCTCACAGCAATCGCCTCATCCAAATCCACTCCCTCCTCCACCTCCATGCACCCGGCCTCTCGGGATCAGTACCCACAGCCACTCTGTCGCTTGGGTCAAAAACATCGTCTGTTTGCCTCACTTCTGCACAAGCCACTGAGCATCCTGGCATTGCCACCTTCAAAACAGATCCTGCATCTGGCCACTTCCCTCCGTTTTCAGGAGGGCCACCCCTTGTCCAGCGTACCTGGTATCACAACCGCCTCCTCCCTGGTCTCCCTGGAGAGCCCAACCCCCAACCCGAGTGAGGCGTTTCAAGTGAGCCCCCTGCTTCAAAGCCTAACCCTCCAGGGGCTCCCCACCACAGAGAGAAGGCAATCCAGACTTCATGGCGTGCTCTAGGTTCTGCCCCACCCTTCTGACCTCATTTCCCTCCACTGTCCCCCTTGATCACTTGGTTCTAACCACAGGTCAGATTTGTTCCCATCCTGGAGCCTCTGCCCCTGCTGTCCTCTCAGCCTGGAATGTTCTTCCAGGAATGCTGAGGAATGGCAGCCTCCTACTCATCAGCTGGGTCTCAGCTCCGGTGTCATCACCTCAGGCCCTCCCTCACCCCCCTCCTCCCCTCAGTCTCTCCCTACTCACGCCTTCTTGGCTTCATGGCATCCATTGCTCTGTGGAACTGTCCTATCTGATTGTCTTCACTACAATGGAAGCTCCCAGAGAGATTCTGCCATGTGTTGACCCCTGGGTCTCCAGGTCCAAGGACAGGGCTCTGTGCATAGTAGATGATCAATAAATATTTGTTTACCATTAACTATGAATTTGGTGAAACTCAGTGATCTTACTTTGATTCATTTACCTGTGCTTGTCAACTGAATACATACTCTTTGATCCATCATTTATTTAAAAAGAAAAACAACTTTTATTGACCATCTATTTTCCAGATACTGTTCTCGGCTCTGGGGACACAACAGTGCACAGAGTTAACAGAGCCTCTCCCCTCAGGGAGCTTCCATCTTAGTGGGAAAGACAAGAAAACACACAAGCAAAGGAATGGAGAATACATTGTCGGGTAGTGACAGGTGCTGTGATGAAAAATGAAGCAGGGTGGCGGGGGGGCTGCCATTTGAATGCGAGCGGTAAGGGAAGGCCTCTCTGAGGACATGACATTTGAACACAGACTTGGGATGAAAAGGAATGTATTGATTAGCTTTTGCTGCGGACCAAACCGACCCAAACCTGAGTGGCTTTAGCACAACCACTGTTTAATCCGTGATCGGCTTACAATTCATTGGCTTGACTGGCCTCTCCTGGGCCTGCTCACGGGTTTGGTCAGCTGGCAGATGGGCTGGTGGCCAGATGACCTCGGATGTCTTCTCTCCCACATCCAGCAGTTGGGAGGCTGTTGGCCCGAGTGACGGGGAGACCAGGCGCGCCTGGCTCCTTCCACGGCAGGACTCCCAAGTGCAGCGAGGCGCACGTGTGCGCTTTCCGTCCTCTGCCCGTCCCTGCCTTCTCTGCTTCTCTCCCATTGGCCAAAGCACATCACGTGGCCCAAGCTCAGGGAGTGAGAAATGGACTCCCACTTCTGGATGGAAAAAGCAGCAGAGTCACATTGCAAAGAATCTGTGGCCATTTTGCATGCTGTTGGTACCGTGAGAAGCTAGAATGTGCCCGGTACCATGCTGGCCATGCGTCATTTCCATCTTCCCCCAAGATGTCCTCCGTGCTGCCTCAGCACCATGGAGAGCAGAAGGATCAGAGGCTGAGTTACAAAACGTATGTTGGAAATGACAGGTGTGTAGGAGAAGAAGCCGATCTCCAGGGAGACTGGGTGGCTTGGCCTCCCTGGGCTTCTGCCTCCACACCTGAGCTCAACTGGGTGGGACCACGTGACATCCAGGCGGACTTCTGTGAAAGTTGCAAAGGGTGTGAATCTTCTGAACACAGCCCCCCAGGAGGGTGCTGGAAGAGGCTCCAAATTCTCCCAGGGTAGAGAGTTCGCTCAGGCTTAGTTCTGCTCTAATGGGAGACCAGTAAGGAAAGAAAAGTTCTAGCCAAATACCTGATAGGACCTGACCAAGGGCTTCATTCGGTTTGAGCTCTCTGGGCAAATGGATGACTCACCTGGGCCGTATTGCCCCAGGACCACAGAGGGTCACTTCTAGATGGTCTCTGATGGAGCAGGGGTGAGGCGGGGGCAAAAAGATGGAGGTATAGTTATAAAACACTTCCTTACCCTGAATCCCAAGAAGTCTCGAGATAGTGCCCAATTTGTATAAAATATCCATTCCTGATGTGCTGTATCGACGTAGCTGCCTACAAGCAGTTACTTATTTAAACAGTCCATCTGGACTGAGCTCCTGCTATGTGTCAGGCACTGTGCCAGGCTTTGGGGACACAAAGGTCTAGCAGATCAGATGGGGTTTCTGCCCTCAGGGAGCTCACCTCTGGCAGGGCAAACGGGTACCTCGGGTCACAAGATCACGGCGGTGACGAGGGCATAGAGTTCACATTGACATGGCAGGCTGTGGATGGAGTTTTGATGCAGTCAGAGAAGTCAGAAGGGCTTCCCTAAGGAAGTGAGTTGGGATCTGAAGGGTGAGCACAACTAGGCCGTGTGGGTTCCAGAGGGAACAGCATGGGCAAAGTCCCTGTGACGGGAGAGAGGAATGGAAATAGGAATGAGTGAAAGACTATCTGGGTGGAGCCGCGCCCCCTTGTATAAGATGAGGTTAGACAAGTAGGTAGAAGCCAGATGGACAAGGTCTGTTGGCCAAGCAGCACGGGAAGCCGCGCTAGGGTGTTAAGCTGGGGGGAGGGGCAACGTGGTGGATGCATGAGAAAGGATCCAGGGCCATGTGCAGGTTTAAAGATTTTATTTATTTATCTGAGAGAGTGAGTGAGAGAGAACAAGCAGGGTGGGGGGAGGGGCAGAGGGAGAGGGAGAAACAGACTCCTCGCTGAGCAGGGAGCCCAAGGTAGGACTCGATCCCAGGACCCTGGGATCATGACCTGAGCTGAAGGCAGAAACTTAACTGACTGAGCCACCCAGGCACCTCCCATGTGCAAGTGTAAACAACATTGGTCCATTCATCCTGCAGACATTTCCAGAATATCAGCGGTGTCCCAGGCCTGAGGGTCACTAAGAGAAAAGGTAGAGAGACCGCCCCGAAGACACTTTCATTTGAGTCTGGGTTTTCAAGTTGGCAGGGGCTGAAGGTAGCTCCTTTTCCCGTCTCCATCTTGGGCCCTCCTCCGGAACCTCTGGTGTTCATGGGCCACTCTTCCTCCTGTTACAGGCCTTCAGCTGAATTTTACTGCCTCCTGGGGGGACCCACACTACCTGGGGCTCACGGGCCTGGAAGTGGTGGGCAAGGACAGCCAGGCACTGCCCATCAGCCTGCACCAGATCTCTGCCTCCCCCAGAGACCTAAATGACCTCCCTGAGTACACCGATGACTCCCGGACCCTGGACAAGTAAGTATCTGTAAGAAGCCACCTACACAGACCCCCAGAGCCATCCCCTCCCACCGCGAGCAACAGAACACTCTCAGCCCCTGAGAGGCGGGGTCACTCGGGCTCAGATGCAGAGCCGGGCCTCAGGGACCTGCTCTGAATCTTTGACTCCAGAGTCAAACATCAAAGAGTGTTCCCTATTGCACCTTCCCCAGCCACCCCATGAGGCCTGTGGTCTTCCCATTTTATTTATTTATATGTTTTTAAGTAGGCTCCCATGCCCAGCGTGGAGCCCAACACGGGGCTTGAACTCACAACCCCAAGATCAACCCCTGAACTGAGATCAAGAGTCAGACGCTTAACTGACTGAGCCCCCCCAGGCGCCCCCTGTGGTCTATCCCGTTTTAGAGTCAAGGGAAACCAAGGCTTGGGAAAGGGAGGTGACCCCCTCCCGGGGCCACACGGCCAGAAGCGGTGGGCAGAGTTCTGCTGCTCCCAGACACAGTCATGCTTTGTGTGTCCACCATGCTCAGCGTAGGGCCTGGAACGCCAGCAAGAGCTTGGCAGGCCTCTGCTGGGCCGGCTCTGCATCTGAGCATGAGCAACGCCCCCTCTCGGGGGCTGAAAGCTTGCCATTGCTCATGGTTGGAGGGGATGGTTCTGGAAGTCTCGGCGGGTGGCCGTGGGCGCTTTCCTCTGCTTTTGTCTGATTTCATCAGCCCAGACTGGGGCCAGTCAATAAGAGGGCAAGCCTGGGATAATAGCATCAGTCCATGCGCCCATCACTGCAGACGGGTGCTGGCCCCCTGCTCGGGACAGCTGCCAGGCCTGGGCTCTGCCTGGAGGTGTAAACAGGAGGAGCCTAGAGGGGTCAGAGGGATGAGAGTTCCAATTCTGGCTCGGCCCCTTGCCAGCTAGTAAGTTTCTTAACCTCTCCAATTACGATAGTAATTGGATAGTAATAAAATTATAGTGGCTCTTCCTAGAGCCCCGAATAAATGCCAGACACAGGGCTACACTAAGCAGGTTAGAGATACTCATCCATTTACACCTCAAACAGCCCGAAGAGGCCCCCACTTTACAAATGAAACTGAGCTACAGAAAGATTAAAAACTGGCCAGAAGTCACCGAGACTAGTTTTGAAGGGCAGAGTCATCTGAACAGAGGTCCATGGGAGATCCACACCCATGCACCTAACCACTGACTTCCACTGTCTCCCCCTGCCTCGCTTGCCTTATCAGTAGAAGGGGATCACCACACCACATCTGCACCCCCGGCCTGGTCTTGATCACCTGCAGTCAATGGTAGACCTGCTTCCTCCCTGCTTTCCCTTCAGGGGCCCCTTAACTGTGGCCCTCACACCTGCTGTCCATGTCTGCTCATGAACCACTCGGCACTCCGCATCTTGGCAGATCACCCATATACTTAGGCCTGGACCCCACAGACCCAGCTCCCACTGCAAAAGTGATCAGCACATGGCCGGCCCCACTTGTTCATCCACACCCGCCCAATCACCAAACCCCTCCACCCAGATTATATGATCACAGCAACTCCCAAGCCTGATAGCACTTCATCTCTAAACATTCTGGTATGTAGTTCTAAACAATAAGAACTTTAGAAAAGTACTATTATTACACCCCAAAAAATTAATGGTGATTCCCTAAATTAGACACCCAGCATGTTCCTGTTTCCCTGAAAGTCTCCTCATCTTCCTTTTTTAAGTTTGTTTCTTAAATTGAGGTCCAGATAAGGTCCATACATTGTGATTGGTTAGTTTGAGGTCCAGATCCATATGTTGTGATTCTTTGATATGTCTCTTAAGCTTCTTATAATCTCTAGGTTCCCTTCCATCTTTTTTCATTTTTTTCTTACAAATTATCTGTTGAAGAAAGGTTTGTTGGCCCTACAGAGTCTGGACTGCATCTCCATGGTGTTGTTTAACCTGTTCCTCAGGCCCCTGTATGTGTTGTGAATTGTTCATTAGATCTAGATGCCTGATCAGATTGAGGTTTGACCACTGGGGCAAGACATGACCTGGGGGTGTGGATGTCACTGTGATTTCCCTTCAGGACATATAGAGTGTGTGGTGGTGAAGCTTTTTGTGACATTGGCGGTCAGTGCTCAGTGGCTAGATCCACTTGGTTGCAAGATGGTGGTGTGCTGATCCTATCATTTTCTTTTTTCACCAACAAAGAGAAATTTTTCTTCAATTATTTGGTTACCCTGAGGTACAATGCAAATAGGAAAGGCAGTCTAAATGCTTGGTTCTTTCCCTTTCTTTTTCAGTTTGCAAAATAAAAAATTGTTTCCCTGGCATACTTTTTTTTTTTTTTTAAGATTCTATTTATTTATTTGACAGAGAGACAGCGAGAGAGGGAACACAAGCAGGGGGAGTGGGAGAGGGAGAAGCAGGCTTCCCGTGGAGCAGGGAGCCCGATGCGGGGCTCGATCCCAGGACCCCGGGATCATGACCTGAGCCGAAGGCAGACGCTTAACGACTGAGCCACCCAGGCGCCCCTCCCTGGCATACTTTAAAACGTTTGTGTTCATAAATCATGGATTTAAACAGACTATGTTTGAAGGGTTTCAATTTATTGCAGTTTTTATCTTACTGATGCTCTTAGATACTGAGAGCTCCTGGATCCTTTTTTTAAAATAGTAGTCTGTAACAGCTTTCCTGCTTTCTGATGTCACAAGATAGTCCAGGCTCCCCTTGTATATTTCTTGTTCCAGACGTGGAATCAGCCATTTTTCCCAAGAAGCCTTGGTTCCTTCTAGCGGGAAGTGGTATTTAGAGACCATAATCTAGCCACTAGAGATGCTCATTGCTATTGGGTTGGTCACAGTTTCTAGGCTTTTCTGTAGACAGAGCTGGAAATATCTAGATATTCTTAGGGGTGTCTGTAGGGACTTCCCTTCACCATTGACTATAAAGACTTCAGCAGCTCTCCCTACTTTCAGAATTGGGTAGCAGTTTTGCTATGGAGGCAGCCCCATGTCTAGGACACAGAAGTAATTGCTTTTAGAAGGAAATGGAAGGTTCTGTAGTCAACCTAATTCCACAAACACCTCCGTTTTAAATTGCTGAATTTCCTCAGTTTTAAGATGCCAGCAATTGTAAGACACACCATCCATCAATTTAATAACAGCCTTTTAGAGAAAAAAAAGAAACATTACCTCCTTGGATGAACACTTAGATTGTAAAATTTATTCCAAATCTAGAACTTTAAGATGTAAAAGGAAAAAATAAAGTTTATTTTTACATCTAGGAATTTCTCCCAGCTCAGCAGCCTCAAAGTCACCAGGAAATTAGGAGGGAGTGGGGGGAAGGGTTACCCAAGAGGCTGAGAGCTGGGCCCCTGTTCCTGGGGTCTGGGCTGCAGTGTGCTGGGCAGTCCAGGGCAGTCAGTTTGTCTTTGAGACAAATACAGGCCAAGTTGAGAAGGATGAGGCAGAGGATGTTCAGAACAGGAGAACCAGAAACTGGCCAGGATAGGATTGCGGGCGAGGTGACGAGTTCATTCAGAACAGCGGCTGAGAGGAACACAAAGGTGCTAGGGGCTCCCTCCTAAGGGTGGGGGGCTTCCCTAGGCTGTCCAGGCTGGATGGTTATGGGCCAGACCAGCTCCCCACAGACATACCTGCCCCTTCTTGTGCTTTTCCCACACCAAGAGCTGCCAAGTTCACCCTAGTGCCTTAGCATCTCTCTCACTGGGCACCAGAAAGAAGGAATCGAATTCTTTCAAAATGTACCATACAATCATGGAACACTACATACATACATACATACATACATACATACATACATACCGTAGAGCCAATACAGCATTTTACAGAAAGTTTGGAAAGTAGAGAAAAGCATCCACCTTCCATTCTCTCTGACACGAATGTGTTTTTCACTTTTGCATAGTCTCTCCTAGCCCCTGTCCTCATCTTCCAGCATTAAAATCGTTTTCCATGTCACTGCATCATCCTCATGATTATCGCATTAACAACTGTATAGATTTACTTAACCCTTTGTATTTTGAGACCACTTGGGTTTTTTCGGTTGTTGGTTTTTTTTTTTTTTTCCTTTTTTTGCTGATATAAATAAACAACACTATAATGAATATCTTCATGCAGATGGCCTTTCCAACAGGTTGAACACATTTTCCTTAGAGGAAAACAATTCCAGAAATGGGATCCCCAGGTTAAAGGGTCCTGAAAGATGACACGTGTCCCCCCTTTATTTTAAACCTTGATGATCGCTTTGCCACACCTTTAACAGCACAGACTGTTACTTTTTCCAGTTTCTTTATTTTGTCTGATTTTACAGATGAGACGTGGCCCCTCACGGTGGCTGTAATGAGTCCCACCTCCATTTAACAAGCCCAGTTCGGCCACACGCCAGGCAGGGTGCAGGGGGCCATAAGGAGGTGTAGACCCCCCCACTCTGATTTCTCCCACAGGTCTTGGCTGAGCCCCATCTCACTGCTCCCTCCTCACTATTCGCAGGCTAATCGATGGAGCGAACATCACCATGGAGGATGAGCACATGTGGCTGATTCCTTTCTCGCCTGGCCTGGACCACGTGGTCACGATCCGCTTCGACAGAGCCGAAAGCATTGCTGGCCTGCGCTTCTGGAACTACAATAAATCTCCTGAGGACACCTATCGTGGGGTAAGCTGGGGAATAGCAGCCGCGCTCAGTCCACTGTCAGGGAAACGGCACCTTGATGAATGGCTGGTGTGGCTGCCGGAGAGGAGCATAAATCTTCCAGAACTTTCCAAATGGAGCTGGGGGGTTACAGCCAGGGAGAGAGCGCACTGCTATTTGCTTCTCCTGCAACCAGCAAATGTGGGCTTGAGAGCCCAGGGCAGACTCGGGACACAGAAGTGCTTTGTTTCTTCTGGGGGTCGGGCGTCCTCAGCAGGCCCAGCCCCGAACCATAATGGTGGATTGGGGCCCTGTTGTTCATTGAGCGCTTTGGGGGCCAGGCCCTGAGCTGTGGACTCTGCACCCATTCATTCTCAGGGGACCCTCGCCCCAGCCTCTGGGAGGCAGGTGTTATTCCCCCGCTTTCAGGGTATTACAAACTGGGGTTCGGAACAGTGCGTTCACTCGTCCCAAGGTCACACAGCGAGCCCCAGTGCACATTCGCTGGGCTCAGAGCCCACACTCCAGTTGTTCTGTCCTGCTGCTGGGTGAGACAGAGCGGGGACCCCTGCTGCACGGCAGAAGGAGAACACCACAGGTGCCCTTTGCATGGGCTCTCCTGTCCTCGTGTGACTCTGGACTGTGGTACGCTCATCCCCTCCCACCACAACACAGAAGTGATGGTAATATCGTCACCTGAGATACGGCAGCAGTGCCTTTGGGGCCCTAAAGTCACAAGGCCCTGGTCCTAATCCCCGCTCTGACCCCAGCCAGCTGTGTGACCTGTGGCGAGTGGTCTGCTTTCACTGGGCCTCCGTTTCCCCATCTGTACAGTGAGGAGGAAGAGGCTGATACCTCCCTTGGGAAGGTGGTCATCATCCTCTGCCACACGGCCGTTGACAAAGCCAGGCCTCAGCCTCGGGTCCCGGGAGCCCTGGGTGTGGTTCCCCACCACGCACATGCCACGGAGTTTCTCCCACGGGCCCCGTAGAACTGGGGGGGGGTTGCCAGCGTGGAGTCAGCGGCCCCCAGGCGCTCCCCTTCTGGGACGACAGATCCTCCCGGGCCGCGCTGGCGTCTCCCTGAGTGTGCTGTCGGGTCAGCACGTTGAGAAAGGAAGATATATTGGCATTCAGAACACATTCTTCTGGCTCAGCTCGTGTCTCTGGGCCTGTACATTCCCGTGAGCGAATCAGTCCTTCCAGCTAAGGCTTGTGACCTGGATTGGCTGCCTGGAAATGTTGGACCCAGAGCCCCCACTTCCCAGGCCTGGCCGCCATCCGCGTAGGCGCGGGCGACAAGTGGCCTCCGTGGGAGGAAGGAGGTGGGGAGATGGGCAGAGTCTGGAGGGGGAGATCCCACAGTGCTGGTGATGGAAACTATGCGCCTCCCCGGGAAGATGCCTCGGGTGCCTGTGTCCCCCAAGGCCCTCTGGGCGCCCTGGTGACAGCCCCTGGCGTGTGGTTAGAGCCGGGCCCTACACGCTGGAGATGGGGCTTCAGATCTCTGCTGCGTGTCCTTGGGCAAATTGCTTAGCCTCTCTGAACTCCTAGTCTCCGTGGCTGTAAGATGGAGGTGATAATAGAAGCTCTGTCCAAGGGAATAAACAGAGGTGTGGGGAAGTCAGGGGCACTTCCTAGAGGAGGGGCTGGCCCTGGAGGGGGGCCTTCCCGGACCTCTGCTCTGTCTGCTGCCAGCTTCGAATGGCCAGCTCCATGTCCTGCTGAAGAAGGATCTCCTCTTTCGAGGCGAGCCAGCAAAATCGCAGGTGTCACCGCTGGTTGTTCTGGTCCGGTTCCATGTCCCTGGTCATATGACCAGTGCGTGACAGTTCTGTTTGTCCAGGTCCAGCCCTTGGGCCAGGGTCTGAATCTGCCTTGAGCAAAGCCAAGTGGGGAGATGTAGGACAGCCTTTGGGTCCCCATATCAAGCCATACCTGAAGCCATTTACCCTACACTTTTTAGGCTTACATGACCTGTGACCAGCTGCCATGCAGGGGCTCCCGAAATGCTGAGGGAATGAAGGGCCCCAAGGGCCTTAGTTAGTTAGCAGTGGGACCCAGGCAGGGCCCCTCTCTGCACGGAGGAGCTCCCCTGCATCGCCTGGAGGTGAAAATCTACCAGTTTGGTCAGCAGTTGGGCCCACGTTGCTCACCACGAAGATGCAGGGAGTCCCGATTCCAAAATGTGTGGTCAGAGAGAGAGAGTGCTGGCCCACTGCCCCTCTCTGCTCACCCACCACCCCCCTGCCCAAGGGAAGCGGATGAGCCACTCCAGACCCTGCCGTTCAGACTTTGAGATTTACTGGTAGATCCTGGCCTCCGGCTGGTAAAATCTGTCCTAGACCAGGGGAACATGTTGGCCCAAATCTGCCAAGGATGCTGCTAGGGAGTACCCGCCCTGAAAGCACGAGCTTGGGGCTGTGAGGAGGAAGATTAGGAAGGGGCTCACCACGTCGTGCCACCTCAGGCCACTGTGGCCGGTCAGATGGGGGGCAGTGCTGGGCCAAGTCAGGTGGCAGCCCTGAAACTTGGGGGCCACCATGGCAGGGGCCACACCTGCCTGGTTCCCTGCTATCCGCCCAGTGCTCAGCACAGTGCCTGGCATGGAGTGCGGAGGAGGGGTACCTGGCCAGGTGGTTCTGGTCTGAGAGAAGGGCCAGACCAAGCGATGTCTCAGGCCTGGGGGCTCCGTGAGGACTCCCCATCACGTTCGGCCCGCTCGGGCATCAGCACCTGTCGGCACGCGCCGCTGACCTGCACGCTGGCTGGCCTCCTTTCTTTAGGCATGTTTCTCCTTTTGTTTGCTAGGCCAAAATCGTCCACATCTCCCTGGACGGCCTGTGTGTCTCGCCTCCAGAGGGCTTCCTCATCCGGAAGGGGCCGGGCAACTGCCACTTTGATTTCGCTCAAGAAATTCTCTTTGTGGACTACCTCCAGGCTCGCCAGCTACCCCAGCCAGCCCGGAGGTGAGGGCGAGCAGCGGCGGGAGCATCCCCTCCCCGTCCCCGTCCCCGGGCTGCTGGCTTCACGCATCGCTCTGAAGTCGCTACCTAAAGGTTTTGAAATGATGATCAAACGCATCGCTTTTCAACTTGGCGGTTTTCTAAAGCTCTGCCAAGCCTCCGCGGAAGCCCGTGGGATGTGCCCACCTTGTCTGGGGATGTTTGGGTTCCCCACAGTCTGGAGTGCTTGAGCTTTTTTAATGCTTCGTTGCACTTCCTGCTGGGAAAAGAGGCTCCAGCCTGCGTTCATTCCAGAAATACCCGCCGACCAGTTCAGGGAAGGGCCTTCTCTCTCTTGGTCCCGAGTTCCTGGTTTAGGAAGATTCCTAAGAGAGGAAATGAGAGCCTAACATTTCATGGGTGCGCTGGTATCTTTTGGCCCCGTCTCAGCTGCATTAAGTTTATAACAATTTGTAAATGCCACGTTCAGTTTACTCATTTAATCGCACCCCCCTTCCCCCCCACCCCCTCACCCCCACCGATGTCCAAATGCCAGAGGCCAAGCTCACAAAACAAAATGAGTTTCCCTCCACTGTGGCTGGGATCACTTCTTGGGCCAGTCATTGAGAACAGCAACTTAATTATAACATTGCCCTTGAAATTGAAGAAAACCAGCAAGGCCTGGAGGGTACTGGCCTGGGGACCAGGGAGAGAGGCCCCAAGGGAGGAGTGTGCAGGGGGAGAGAACCCTTCCTCCCAAGTGCCGGATCTCTTCGGAGGCTTTGTATTCATCCTTCAGGGAACCCTTCCACCCACCCTCTGAAGAAGGGGTTATTATGCCCATTTTACAGATGTGGGCATTGAGGCCCCCGCTATTGAAGCCACTTGCTTGGGATCACAAAGTCAAAGCCTGCAGGGTACGCCCCACCTTCCAGCCACCTCTCTCTGCCCGCCTCCCATCCTGCCCCACACCACAGGGCCTTTGTTCTGGCTGCTCCTCTGCGGGGAAGGTTCAGCTCTGATCTTTGTGTGGCCGCCTCCTTCTTAGCTCAGGCGCCGGCTCCCAGACCACCCCCTCGGGTAGCCTGCCCCAGCCCGGCGCTCCCTCCCGGCTGCTGCCCCAGCATGGGTCTCGCTCAGCTGTCAGCACAGTGTGGACTTGCCTTGTTCATGGAAGGGCAGGAGGGCTGGGTGGTTAAGAGCGGACTCCAGAATCGGACAACCTCAAGTCACATCCCAGTTCTGCCCCTTGCCAGCTACGTGGCCTTCAGCAAGTGACTTCACTTCTCTGTGCTTGTGTCCTCACCCGCAAGCCAGGGCTATAAAAGTACCCACCTCCCGGGGTTGTTTTGAAGCAAGAAGAGTCCATATAGACAAGCCCGAGGTGCCCAAGTCCCCCGCGGTGGGACGGGACTCCACAGTGGGCACACACTTCATTGGTCGGTCCCCACTGCCAGGGAACCCCCCCCACCCCGCCACCACGGGGGGAATAACTGACCAGCCATCAGGGTCATCGCGATCTTCTGCTTCCTGTGCTGTTCTGTGTCTTTTTAGGCTCGACTTGCAAAGCCTGGAGCGGGCGACCATGGACTACGAGGCGCCCCTGATGCCCTGTGGCTGTATCCTCCTCCCACCTGTCTGCGCATCCCAGGCCCTCGGGGGTCGCACCCGGTACCCCAGGAGAGGGCTTGGCCCTTGTAGCAGTGTTGGGGTTCCAGGCAGGCCATGGCCGAGGAGCTGGGGCGCCACGCTGGGAAACCTAGGGGACGGTGGGAGGCTTCCCGGGGCGTTGGGTTCACTGGGTGCTGCTGGGGCGGGGGGCGGCGACAGGGTTCCAGACCCCACCCCCTGGCCGGCTGAAGTTTTGGGAGGCAGCGCAGGACTCCAGCTGGGAGGGGCCAGAGAAGCTGGAACTCTCCCCAGGGACTGAACTGGGGGCTGTCCTTGGAACCAGGCAGGGAGGAGGTGAACATAGAAGCAAGGATAGCCCCAATTTGCTGGATCCTTCCCTGGGCCTGGCACTGTCATAGTGCGTGGCGTTATTAACTCAGTCCTCGCCACATCCCGGTGCAGCGGTGCTGCGAACATCCCCATTTCTCAGCTGAGAACACGGAGGCCCAGAGAGGCGAAGGAACTTGCCCAAGGCCACAGAGTTGGGAAGGGGCGGGGCAGGTGAGTGAACATGAGCAGCCTGGCTCTTTCAGTAGCTTGTTCTCCTGGACCGACTGCCCGTGGCTAAGCCACCTTTCCTGCCCTGCCCTGCCCGCCCCTGGCATGATGGGAGCTGGTGGGGGATGGGGCTGAGGACTGTGGGACGCGGTCAGCAATGGTGGCTCACGTGGCCCTGGCCCATCCCTCCCGCTGCTCCAGAGCTCATGGATTTCCCCCTCTTAGCCATCCCCCCACCCCCGCACCAACCCTGCACACTTGAAATGGACGGAGGAGGGAACGGGTACTTCGTTCTTGTCATTTTACAACCAGGGAAACTGAGGCAGGAGACAGTTTGAGTCCTGGTCACGTCATTCAGTGCCACCACGCAATGAGTCTGTGACGCACATGGCTCTCGTCCTGCCAGCCCCCTGGGGAACAGCACCCTCCCCTCCCGTCCTCCTGCCTCCCGGGCTCGGAGGACAGTTTTTAACTCTTAAAACACACACATACGCAGTTGAAATCCAAGACAAGTTGATGCCACATATATTTTGATGGGCTTCAGTCTCAGTGAGAGAACAAAAATGATTTTTTTCCTCTCATTCATCTGTAGAAGCCCACCCCAGAGTATATCCCTATTTTATCTTTGTCCCTCTTTTGCTTTGTTCTCAGAAAATTAAGCCTGTTTTTCCTTAATAACGTCCCCTAGTCATTTTCCAGTTGCAGCTCCTGACCAGCTGGGGTGATCCCTATTATATCGGTCTCACGGGCCTGGAGCTGTATGATGAGCGGGGAGAAAAAATCCCTCTGTCGGAAAACAGTATCCTTTCGAGGCAGAAGGGGACTCCACCCCGACGGAAGGGAGCATGGGAGGGTTGGGGGAAGGAGAGGAAATGTCCCTGTAGGAGCCCGACCCCGGGACTAAAAATGCCAGTGGGCTCTGCTTCGGGTCAGATGCTGACCCTTGGGGGGTGGGCAGAGCAGGGGCGGCTCCCAGCCACCCCGGCCAAGGTATCCATAGCAGGAGTCCCACGAGACAGAGAGGCCTGTGGCCCGGGCATTTGGGAGAGGGTACCAGCTGCCACACAACCCCCCCCTCCAGAGAACCACAGGTACTTTGGAGTTCTAAAGACTCTGGCAAGGCCTGCAGGGAGCCGCCCATGACACTGTATTCAACCCAGTGTGTCCTGAATTTATTGACCGTGGACCCCTTTGTTCATGGAACGCCCCCACCAGAATTCGCAAACTGCTAGTCCACTGAGTTTTTAAATATTTTAGCTTAGTCGCTAATATTTTTTAAAAATCAAGGGGTTTCACATGAAAACCTCAGTCTTCAGCCACTCTTGAGAAATTAGCAATAGTCATGCACAGTGATGATGGCTGGACCTGAGCATCCACTGCCCTTTGCCCCAAACATGTCCTTACTGTCTTCTACCAGGCCCCTAAAACAAATTGCTAATATTGACTGAGGGCTCGCTCTGTGAGCGCTTGTCTGGTGGTACCTCATTTGCCCTCATAACCATCTTGTGAAGTGAGTGCTGTTATCCCCATTTTACACGTGAGGAACTGAGACAGAGAGGTTAGGTAACTTGCCCAAGGTCACACAGCATGTGAGTATACAGCTGGGAATTTGGCTGTAGAGACCATGCTCCAACCGCTGAGCTGTCAGGCATCTATCTTTGATGTCACCTGCCTGACCCCTCTGGGCCCTTGCCCCGTGATCCCTGCCCCACCACAGGGTCCCACCAGAGCAGGTCCAACCCCAAAGCCTGCCTTGCACCTCTCTGGGGTCCTGGGTTCCAGTTGGATCCTTTTCTGCCTTCCCCTGGTGACACCATCCTCCTGGCCTGGGATAAATGATTCCTGGTGGTTTTGATGGTTATTAGTGATTCCTTGGAGGTATAAGCCTCATTCGATTTTACCGAGCCTGCTCACATCGATTCTGAGATGTGGAGGTTTTTACACCCATTTTACAGATGAGGAAGCAGGCCCCGAGATGTTCTGGGACTTGCCCCAGACCTCACAGGTGGGAAGGCAGAGCCAGAGCCAGAACTGGTTGCTCCAGATCCGCGATAATGTCCAGCCCTCGAGTAGCCATCGCCGGGTCAGGTTCACCCAGTGCGTCCAGTCTCGGGCTGGTGCCCCCATGCCAAGGCCGTATCCAGCCATCCCTCAGCCCCTTCACAACAGAAAACCTTCGAAGTTTGCCCTCCACTCCCCAGAGTGCCAGCCTGGCCGCCTCCCTGTCCCTGACACTGGCCACTCCCCCCCCACCTCTGCACCCCCGCCGGCCCCGGTGCTCATTTTCCCCACAATGGCTAATTTGGCTGCCACTTTTCCGGCTGCCCCGAGCAGCAGACGGCCGTTCTGCCCACCAGCCCCGGCGTCCCCTGAGCCACACCGTCAGCACGAGGAGGCTGGTGGCGGAGAGAGTGGCGCACGGCGCCCAGCACACTGCTTTGGGTTATGGCAGCTTAGAGACTCCCCAGATATCGCCGCCTTCCCCGACAGCGTGAACTCCCTGGAGGGCGTGTGCGGGGACGTCCGGACCCCCGACAAGCTCATCGACCAAGTGAATGACACCAGCGACGGCAGGCACATGTGGCTGGCCCCCATCCTGCCCGGCCTGGTGGGTTCGCGGGGGGACTTTGTGTCCTTGGTCTCGGTGACACATCTTTCTTCCAGGCCAAGTGAATCGCCAACGAATCAAAATGCCCGCGGGCCGTCAGGAAGGCACAGGTCTTCACTGACACCTCCGATGGGCACTTTTTGGGGGGCGTGGTTCTTTCCCTTTGCACTTGGGGTGGTTATTGCAAGGCGCCCTGGAGAGAGAAGGTCCCACACGGGACTCCGGAGCCCCAGTGCTGCAGGCGTCCGTCGGTCCCCGCGGGCAGCCCGGTCCCCTGGCCACATCCCCTTGCCTCCTCCCGGACCTCGAGGTCACCAGGCACTGGACCCCAACCCGGCCTTCCCTCTGGCCCCAGATCCGCCTGTCAGCTCTCAACTGACTCAGTTTCGCAGATCTCAGACCCTCCTGCTGGTCCTCCTTGTCACTTGGGGACCTGGGGTGGGCCTTCGCCCCCCCAGGCCTGGCCGATGTTGGTCGAGAGAGAGAGGAGACAGGCCGGGTGGAGACAGGTGGTTCTAGCCCCGCGCCAGCCAGACGCCTGGGTAGAGGAGTGCAGCAGCACTAGGGCATGCGTGTGACCGCTGAAGTGTCCCCTCTCCCTCCACGTGACTGGGCAGGAGGACAGGGAGGTCTATTTTCCTCTCAAAACACAGAAAGGAGCAGCATCAGCAGCTCTGTGTGGGAGGTTTTCCTCAGTGTCCCCCCCGGCCCGAGCCCCGAGTGTCCATCAGCTCCCCTGAGCGCCAGCCCCACCCCTGCAAAGGAGAAACCCCCGAGGTCTCTGAGCCCTGAGACCAGGGCGCCACCTGTCCGCTGCCATCTTGAGCTTGGCCAGCAGGTGTTCATCTTTCAGTGACTTTTGGTGTGAGGCAGTTTTTGTAGCTGTTACTCTCCCAGCCGGACTCAAACATTTGTATCTGCCTGAGCCCCGTGGGCGGCTGAGCTTGAGGACCTTTACCATTTCCACGGTACAGCCGGAAGGCTGGCCCTCCCCCTGCAGCACCCCCACCCCTCCAAACCCCGACATCCTGCGAGGCCTTTGGGGGATGGCCAGGGGCTGAGACCCGGGGCCTGGGGCCCACAATGAATGCTCATTGCTCTGTTCTGTCTTGCAAGGGGCCCCCTAATATGGGAGAGTCTTTGTTGGGGCGGCAGGGTGGGTGGGAAGCCGCCAGGTCTGACCTTACTGGCTGATTCTACCACTGATCTGGACAACCCCCTCCCTGCTCCCCCTGCGGAGGTTCAAAGACATGGGCTGGAAATTACCCAGCAGCGCCTTCGGGGCCTGTCTGCTATGCTTCTCATTTAGGACCGGAGAAAGGACAGATTGGGGTCAAGGCCGTGCTGCCCGCCCGGGGTGGGGGGACAGTGCTCCTTGACTCTGCAGCCGGGGCCTACCGCTTCGGCCCGGGGAAGCCCCTGCGCTGGGTGTCTGGCCGGACCCCGGGGAGAGGGAAGGGTGCACCCGGTTCTCTGCGGGTATTTAAATGAGGGCCACGCCAGGCCCCAGAAAACAGGCCCTCCCAGAGCCAGTCAGCGGTTTGTTGCAAATGCAGCCGCACGTGACCGGACTCAAGATAGGCTGCCGGGAGTTGGAAGGCAGTGGGGACCCCACGCGCCACGGCCCCCCAGCCGCCCAGGCGCCGCCTCCAGCGCCCACCGGGCTCGCCCCCGCCCGCACCCCCCGCCCCACCCGGCGCCTGTTTCCAAACATGCCTGTTTTCATGGGTTCTCGTCTCTGACAGGTGAACCGGGTTTATGTGATTTTCGATCTGCCCACCACCGTGTCAATGATCAAACTGTGGAATTACGCAAAAACGCCCCATCGAGGGGTGAAAGAGTTTGGCGTGAGTACTTACTTATCAGCTGGGTTTTTCGAGATAATTATGCTTGTTGGTAATTAGGCTGCCGACAATTATCGTTTGTCGCAGTTTGATTTACTTCTCTCTCTTGCCACCTTACACACAAATGCCTGGTCCTCCGAGGCAGGGAAATTCGCCATCCCACCGTGAATCCAAAACCTGCCCCCAGTGATTTGAATCCTCCCCCTGAAAACCAGAAAGTGGCTTTTCTTTCATCTTTTCTTTTCCAATCATGTTGGTCTAGGGAGTTCTTGCCTCGGGGAGGAGACTCTGGGGCAGGGAGAGGAGGTGCCTTCCCCAATGGTCACGAGGGCCTGAGACCTAACGCAGGCTGGGCTAGCCCGCGGGGCTCCGAGCAGTAACTCGCTTTGACCGAGGCCGCAGGGGGGAAGGAGGGGGGAGCCTCGGCCCCACGGTGCAGCCCCTCTGTGTCTGCCAGCTCCTGGTGGATGACTTGCTTGTGTACAACGGGATCCTGGCCATGGTGGGCCACCTGGTGGGGGGCATCCTGCCCACGTGTGAGCCCACGGTGCCCTACCACACCATCCTCTTCACCGAGGACACGGACATCTGCCGCCAGGAGCGACACACCACCATCAGGTACGCCCGGCCCGCCGCCTCCCCCGCCGGCCCCTTTGGGGACAGATGGCAGGAGTCCAACCCGCTGTCTTCTGCCTCCCCCCAGCAATCAGGTGGAGGATCAGGACGTCCAGATGATGAATGAAAACCAAATCATCACCAACTCGAAAAGGAAGCAGAGCGCGGTTGACCCAGGTCAGTTTGGCTGCTCTGCCCAGAGGTCACCCGCGGGACTCCAGGCTGTGTAGACAAGCTGGCAGGGGGGTCCCACACTCACGCCCACGCCTGCCTGCCCCTCGGAGCCCCTTCTCAGTCCCGGGAGCCTGCGGGGGGCTGAGGAGGAGCTGCGGGGGCAGAACCCCGGGAGCAGCGTGCGGCCCCCTTCCCGCAGTCACCTGCAGCTTGGTGTGGCTTCCTGGGGGCCCGGCTTGGGTGCAGACGGAAGGGGTTGCCCTGTGCTGTGGGAGACCAGTGGAGGATGCCCAGGGCGAGGGCTTCCCAGAGGAGGTGGTGTTTGAGCTGCACCCTGAGACCTACGGGGAGTTGGCCGGGCAGAGGGAACAGCGTGGCAGAGCCTGCTGCAGGGGGGCAGGTCAGCGTGCCCGGGTGCCGAACTTGGGGGCTGCAGGGGAGCTGCGGGCGGTGGCCTAGGCCGGGGACCCGGACAGTTTACACATCCCCCCCACCAACCGCGGGTGTGGGGTGGCCCTCAGGGACTGAGGCTGGGTAACGCCCTCCTCTCTGGCCTCTCCCTTGACAGCCTTACGCCCCAAAACGTGCATAAGCGAGAAGGAGACCGCGCGACGGTGGCGGTGCTGACCGCAGAGGAGGGGGGCCTGGTCCTCCAGCCAGCGGCGCCCGTGTCACCCGCCCCCGGTCCTCAGCCTTGGCAACCTGGACTCTGCAGGCTGGAAGAGGGGAGCGAGAGGGGACGCGTGTGGCCTGGCCTCCCTCTGCCGCTGGGCTCCGGGGCGCCCTCCTGGGACCCACGCCTGTGCACACAAACCCGCCAGGACAGTGAGGTGGCGGGGGGGGGCCCTCCCCTCCCTGCAGAGCATGGCTGCCCAGGGCTCAGCCACCAAACCCCCCCACATGAGGGGGCGCCGGGGGAGGCCCGAGAGGAGGTGCCAACAACCCCCCTCCCTGCCACACCCCTGCCTCATCTGGGGGCTGGTGGAGCCGGCTGAGAGGGTGGCGTTGTTCCCTGGTCCCCCAATGTCTAGCCAGGGCTGCTCCAGCCCCGGACGCACTCGGGGATGTGGGTGTCTCGGGGAGGAAAGGAAGGGAGCCGCGCCCACCCTCCCTGCTGCCAGGCCCTCCTAGGATGGCGGTGGGCAGCTTCACACCCCAGACGGCCAGCAGGGCCCGTCCAGATGCCCTCTGGAAGCAGGGCAGGCCGAGGACCAGGCCACAACCCCACCTCCCCTTCCACTTGAACTTTGCCTGGAGGCGGGCGGCCCTCCCTCTGGTCTGAGCGCGGGCTCCTCCTGCTTGCTCCTCCCTCCTCTGCGCACAGGTGCCCTTGCAGGGAGGCAGCGAGGTGCTCGTTGCCCAGCCCCCCCGCTTCGAGCAGCTTCCCCTCGAGATGCTACCGCGGAGGGAGGTCGGGGAGGCTCTCCAATACCAGGGGGCCAGAGCAATTCTCCCCTCGGCCTGGGACAGAGGGAGGTGGGGTTTCCAAGGGGCCGTCAGTTTGGCTGCTCGAGTTGGAAATGTGCCTTGCACCCCCAGCCGAGTGAAGCTCAGAACGTATCTATTTCCATCGACGTAACAAGCTCGGATCAGGGACCTAATTGGTTTCCCAGTGGTGGGTAATTTCTCGTTCCAAATATCAATCCGTTGTTTTCCTGGCGCCCAGCCCGGCCCCGCCGCAGTGCTGTACTCCAAGTAGGTTCCTGTGCAACCGAGAGCCCCAGCAAATACTTTATGAGCTTTGCAGCTTCGGCCGAGCAGCTATGCAAATGCGCTTTTCATTTGGAGCGTGGGGCCGATGTGAAGATAAGGAATTGTTTCTCCCAGAGAAGATCCATCATCGCTGTAGCTTCCAGGGCCCCGGCTTCCAGGCTCACCTCCCAGATGTGGCAAGCGCCTCCGAGGCCTCTGGGCTCCCAGGAGAGCTGAGGCCCGGGGGGGCTGGGGGCTGATCGAGCCAGCCCTTAGGGACCAAAGCTGGTGCCACCGCCACGTTGAATACGGCCCAGCTCTCTGTCCCCACGCGAGGCTGGGGCACAGGTCAGACCACCACGCACGCTCGCTCCCAGAACCTCCACTGCTATTGCTAAGAATTGTATGCGCCATGTAATTTAGGAGGGGAAAAAAGCTGTACGGGCATTAACTGTAAAATAAATGTCTATTTTTTTTCTCTTGCAAAATCAATAAAAGATGTTATTAAGAATATGGTCAGACGTGCTGGATTTGGGGTCAGGCAGAGGGGGCCCATGCTGCCTCCCAGAACGGAGTCAGAGTTTGCTGGAGGCTGGCGGAATGACGCGGGGTGAGTCCCCTCTCTGAGCTTCCCTTTCCCCACCTGCAAATGGGGGCATGATCGTGGGCAGAGGATAGAAGCCCATACATATATGGTGGTTATTTTGTGTCCGGAACCACCTCATTGAATCCACGTTACAACCCTCTGGGGTCAGCACTATTACGATCCTCCCTTCACAGATGAGAGAATTGAGGCACAGAGAGGTTGAGTAACTTGCCCAAAACACACAGCTTCGGAAGCCATTAGCGCACAAATCCCAGGATAACCACGGGAGAGCTGAGGCGGGGTGAAATCCTGGGGGTTTCCCTTAGGCTTAATGTGGATCCTAGAAGCCAAGCCCCCAGATGCCCGATTCTTGGTCTGTCTCCTGTGGTTCCCCACTCCCCAGCTTCCTTCAGAGGTGAGCATTGGTGTCTGGATGAAGCAGCCCTTGAGTGGGAAGAGGGTTCACTTGGCGGGGGGCTGGTTCTGGGGTACAGCTCAGGTGCCAGCAATTACCCTGGGGCTACGCAGGACGGCCCCTTGGAAACCCCACCTCCCTCTGTCCCAGGCCGAGGGGAGAGTTGCTCTGGCCCCCTGGTATTGGAGAGCCTCCCCGACCTCCCTCCGCGGTAGCATCTCTGGGCCAGCCTTGGAGACGCTGGAGGGCGGGCGAGGCCATTCAGTGCTCCTTCTGTGGGGCGGGAGGCCGGGCAGGGCATCCCAGCTTCTGGGCCTGGTCTGACGTCCGGGGGCAAAGCCGGCCCGGGGGGACCTGGTCAGCAGCGCAGCGCACGCCCCTTCTGGGGGACAGCTATAACTCAGCGACAGTGGTCCAGAGATGCCAGACCTTCAGGGATTTTAAGAGAAGCCAGAAATCCAGGTGTTTTATCTATTTTTAATGTGAAATCGCACTTGTAAATGTTGGTTCTAGCTTAACCAAGCAAGCACCAACCGAGCCAAACCGGTTACCAGTCCCGCGTAGGCCCCCCGCTTCACCCCAGGTCCCACCCCGCCTCGGCATGAACCCCAGCGCCCCCTCCCTGCCTGGTCCCCCTGAAGGCTGCAGTCCCCAGCCTGTGGCCAGAACGCCCAGAGCTGGTTCCTCCCTGGGAAGTCAGAGGAGGGAGGGGATCGATCCTGGGCCCTCAGACCGCCTAGGGCACAAAGGCAGGGGTCGGTCTGGTGACCTTTGCATGCTGAAGGTGGCAGTCCCCACGCTCAGCTGCGGTGGGAGGACAGACGCCTTGCCCTGGGCGTCCTGCTTCCCACCCCACGCATCGGCACTGGGCTGTGGGGTCGGGGGGCTGGCTGGCACCCCGCGTGGGGTTCCGCTCCCAGCCACAGCTGACGAGAGGGCCGAGGAAGAGCCGGCCTCTGGCCTCTGGCCCCCGGGGGACCCGCCTCCTCTGTGTGGCCAGTGGGAAGGACCTGCCTCTGCGCGTTTGTTCGTCGGTCCCCAGACAGTCCTGCTCGGACGCCACGACCGCAGAAGGCCCCCCGGGCTCCCCCGGAGCCTGCCACGGCGGTCTCTACACTCTGACGGGGGCGGCTGCCCCCGCCCCGGGCCTGTTTGCCGCCATGTCCTCACACCCCTCCCCTGCCCCGCCGCCTCGAGTCCCCACCGGAGGCTCCCGGTCTCCCCCGGCCGGCGAGTGGGACAGCAGAGCCCACTCCGATCTGGCTGGCTGCGCGGGTCCGGACAGCCCCCCGCTTCCCCGCAAGAACAGGCAGCTCTGGTCCCCTTTACTCATGGCTGCCGGGGCCCCCACGGCCCCTCTGTCCCGGGCCCCACCTGCGTCCCTCACCCGCGTCACCTGCACGGCCCGCCGGCGTTGGAGCATGCACGGGGGCGAGCATGACTGCCAGTGCTGTGGGGCCCAGCGGCGGGGGCGGGGGGGGGGGCTGGCGAGCCCCTGGCGACCGATCGGGCCCCAGGTGTGCAGTGTGCTCGGGGCTAAGCTGGGCTCCAAGGCTGCCCAGCTCCCAACCGCGGGCTCCTCCCCGGAGCACCCCAGCCCCGCCTTCCACCAGCCCCTCCTGACCCTCGGGACGACCCCCCGGCCTCCTCCAGTTGGGCCACGAGGGCACCGGCCTCAGAGCAGAGGTGGGGTCTCAGCCCCTGCAGGCTGCTCGCCTCGCTCGCCAGCCCAGCCTGCACCCCCAGGCCGCCCACACTCACCCTGGCCGTTCCCGGGGGATCAGACCGGAGGGGACGGAGGGGGGCGGTTAGGGCAGGGGCTCGCCAGCCCGGCTTCATGCGGTGGAACTTCTCCCACACGGAAGCCCCCTGCCCGCTTGTCCCAGGGCGCCCCCTAACCCCTGCATCCCGGCCCGTCCTGGCAGCGGCCCGGCCACCAGCTTCCCCGTAAGGCAGAGGCTCGGCCGGTGTCAGCCCAGGATGAAATGTGGCCCCCAAAGCAATTACCAGGGTGTCGCGGGCTGGGCTGTGCCGGGGACAGAGCAGAGGTCCCGCACCGGGATTTCCGGTCTGTGCACGCAGTAAATCCCCACACAGAGGAGACTGGTTTTCCCTCATGACTGATGGTCCCCGGCTGGGCTGAGTTTGTCCTCAGTCCCGTGGCAGGGCTGTCCACCCGGGCGGTGGTGTGATCTGTTCACTGGCCACAGCCCCGGAGAAGGGGTGAGTGGCGCTAAACTCCAGCACCCCCCAAGCCGTGTGCCCCAGACCGCGGTTCCTATGGTTTGAGGTCACGCACTTCATCCGCTCAGATGACACTTTTCCTGATTCCTGCCGTGGCCCCGAGTGGCCCAAGGTGTCCCCGTCTGCACAGCATCAAAGCCCAGACAGGAGCCTCAGAGAACAGCTAGTCGAGCCCCGGTGTGCCTTGTTCCCTCACCCATCCCCAAGCCGCACTGGGGCGACTTAGCTCATTCCTGGTGCCCCCGCAGCCTAAGCCTCTAAGTCCTGCCAGAACCTGCTGCAGCCCCCTCTCTCGTCACCCTGACTCTGCCTTGCACCCCATCTCCCAGGCCTTCCCCCCATACAACCTGGAGGAACTTGCTGTGTCCTCCTCTAAAAATCCTCCTGCCAGTGGTTCCCTGTGGAACCTTCCAGGCGAAGGCCGCACTCCTGGCCATCACCCCCAGGCCCCACCAGCTCCGACCCCTGAAGACCAACTGCTCAGCAGCAGACTTCATGCCCTCACCTTGAGCACCAAGCATGGTGTCCTGTCACAGTGCCACACACAACATTCCTCTCAACCCCAGGGCCTTTGCACATGCTGTGGCTTATACCCAGACTCCCTTGCCGCTTCCTTCAGTCCCTGCTGCGTGGCCCTTCCTGAGAGGCCCACCCTCACCGCTCCAGTGTAAACCAGGCCTTCCCTTGTTCGCTTACATAGCACTTCTCACGCTTCGAAGTGATATTTTTGTTGTTCGAATGATTCGAGTAGTCAGTCTCCTCACTGGAATACAAATTCCGTGTCCTCCCGACTCACCGTGGCGGCTCGGGTGCCCCGTTGTGCCTGGCACACAGGAGAGCCTCCATGAGCGGTTCGGGGACGAATGGGGCCCACTGCAGGTCTGTGATTTGGTCTCAGGATTTGAACTAACTCCACGGCCGCTGATGCTTTCCTCTGTCCTCACTTCCTCCCGAGGGATGAGCCTCCCCAACAGGACAAGTCAGGCCTGGCTGCAGCAAACGGATGCCCATGAATCAAGTTGACGTTTCCATTACCTGAGGGAGATAAGTGTGTGGCTGGGAGAGTTTGGCTTCGGTGAGGGTGGCAGGGATGACCGCCCATCACATCCGCCAGCCAAGGAGCGAGGTCAGCGCCGCCACTTCCTGAGGCCTGGGCCTGCGCATTAGCCCTTAGCTCGGGCCCCCACGGCCCCCTGCACCCGGGGAGAGGGCGTGGTGTGAGCCAACAAGAGGGCAGAGGCCCCACTGCGGGCCACCGAGCGCGTGCAGGCCAGTGCGTGTCCAAGACCAGCTCACGCCCTGGGAGCGTGGGCTCAGGGCCAGTGGGCGCACACACACTTAGCACCAAGCGCTAACTCAGGCTTGTTGGGGTTGGTCTGTGTACAGGAGCCCAGGGAACGTGGACACAGGGATGCTGGGTGCAGGTACCCGGGGCAGACCTCTACGTGCACACCCAAGCACCTCCTGCCTTCAGCCCGGGTGGTCTTCCCTCCTCCCAGATGCATTTGCCCCCCGGCATCAAGACCCCCCTGCCAGTAACGCTCAGTAGGGAGCCACTGGGACCACGCCTGGGCCTGCCTGGCGATGCTTCCTTTCACCTCACGAGCAGCCTTCTTGCTGTCGGCTCCACGAGATGGAGAGCGGGGGCTCACCCTCTGCCCGACAGGTGCCCAGAGGGACGGGGGGACTGATGGATGGACTTATGCAGGGCTAAGAAAGGCCTTTGCCTGAGCCGTCCGCATACCATAATCACATACCACTTGCACGATTATTTATTGAATATTTTTCTTCAAGCCAGCTCTTTGTCTTTTTACTTAAATGCCTATTTTGGTTTCGTCCTAAGCAACAGCATTGGTGAAATCATGACACTAATGTGCCCATTATACATTTTTTCCTAATACACATTTACATAAAACACAACTATTAAAATAGATTAAAATTGTGCCCATGTGTCGATTAAAATCATGTCCTGGGTTTTGGTGGTCCAGCCGCCAACTACAGAAGGACCCCAGCTGAGGAGAAGGAGCCCCAAGATGCCCGGGGCCCTGGGAGCCCAGCCCCACATCCTGCCAAGGACCCAAAGCCCAAACTCTTTGTCCTGACTTTCGAGATCTTTGTCAGTGGACCCCAATCCCCCACCCAGGCCCATCTCCCGCCGCATACAGTAGGTGCACAATATTTACTGACTGAATGGAAAATGGATTAATGACTCTCTTGATGAATGAATGCACGCGTGAATGAGTGAGCACACACCTCCACATGGGTGCCCCTGGCACCGAGACTCAAGCCATCTGGACCCGCCCCTGACCCAAGCCCGGAACCTGAGAGCCTTTGCCGACTTTCCCTCCGCATCCCTCTGTTGATTTTCCCTCGTGACTGGCTCCTGACTCTGCCCTCGTTGTCCCATCCCTGGGGCCACTTTGTGAACCAGACCACTGTCTTCTCTCCCTCCGAGCATGGGAGGGATATGGCAGCAGAGATCCTCCTAGAATGCACAGCGGGGCTGTGGACTGTGGGTAAGTCCAAGCTTCCTAGGGAGGCTTCACGTCCCTCTGGCCTGGCTCCCCCGACCTCCTCTGCAGCCAGATTTCTCACCCCCTGTGACCCTCCCCTCTCTCCACACCTGCTGTCTAGGCTGTTGTAAGGTTCCTGTAATGTTCCGACTTTCTTCCTCTCTCTCCTCTTGCCTGACATCTAGACAACCTTCATGTCTTGGCTTAAATATCTTTTTCCCAAAGGAGCCCTCCTGACCACCGCCTCCTCCTCCCTCCCCCAGCAGGTGCTGCCTTTGGGATCCCACAGCCCCTGACTTTCCCCATCAAGATAAGAGCAAACACCAACAAAGCACTCACTCTGTGCCAGGCCCTTTTCTAAATGCCTCACATGCCGTAGCTCAGTTAGCCCTCAGGACAGCTGTAAGAGGTAGCTGTCCTCTTGTCCCCATGGCCCATGGAGAGGAGGCACAGAGAGGTTAGGTCACTTGCCTAAGGTCTCAGGGGGAGGTGTTGGAATCTAAACCCAGGTTGCCCGGCCCCAGAGCCGGGCGCCAAACACACCACACACTGTACAACAACCATCTGTCTCGTTCTCTGTCACGCCCATCTGTGAGGACAGACACCCATCTGGATGGCTCAATATCCTATCTCAAGTGCCTACCGCAGCGCTTGGCACATAGTAGGGGCGCAGTGAACTGTATCACCAGATAGATGGATACATGGATAGTTAAATAATTAGGATGGGTCATACGCGGAAGGAAGATGGACGGACGTCTGATACAGGGAAGGATGACATCTGGTAAGCGGAGGATGGATGGATGATAGATGATGGATGGGTGGATGATGGATGGATGGATGATGGATGATGGATGGAGGATGGATGGATAGATGGACGGACGGATGAATGGATGGATGGATGGATAGATGATGAATGGAGGATGAAGGATGGATAGATGGGCTGGTGATGGATGGATGATGGATGGATGGATGGTTGGATGGATAGATGGATGGATGGATGGATGGAGAGATGATGGACAGATGATGGAGGATGGATGTGTGGATGATGGAGGATGGGTGTGAGGATGATGGAGGATTGATGGACAGATGATGGAGGATGAATAATGGACGGATGATGGATGGACTTATGGAAGGATGAAGAAACATTCTCTACTTGGGGGAAAGCTCTAGGAATCCTTCTGGAAAGGGATGAGGCTTCTTAAAGTCCTGGTTCTGACCCCATCTCTGCCATTCACTAGCTCTGTGATCTTGGGCAAGTTACTTCATCTCTGTGACCCTAAGTTCCCTCATCCTTATAATAGGGATGTTTCCCCAGGCACCTAAGCCCCAGGACTTGATGTAAAGGTAGCTCTAGACACAGGGTCAAGGGTCCCCATGGGGTCAGGACAGCTTAGGGCCTGGGCTTGAGGGCCTGTCTCCCAAATTTCCCACCTGCCTGTCCCATCCCTACCTTGCCCACCCTCTGGAATCCAAGGCAGCCTGCCAGCCTGGCTCCGCCCTGACCCCGACCCCCCAGACCCAGCTTCCACTCTGGACTCCCTCCTTCCTTCCGGCACCTCAGTGTCTGGCCCTGACCCCAGCACCCTCAGGCTGTCCCACCTTCAGGCTCCTTGAGGACCCGACAGGGTGGGGCCCTGGGGGGCAGCCACAGCCCAGAGAGCAACTGGCCTCCACACATAGCAAGAAAACAGGTTCAACAAGCGTTTATTGTGCCCCTGCTGGTGCCTGCTGGGTGCCCCCCACCCCGTGGTGCCAACGCCGGGAAGCCCCACCCGCTCCCTGCCTCGTGCAGGGCTCCGCGCCGCCGGACACGCCCTGAACTTCCCGGCCGGCTTTCCGTGGCATCCCAGCTGCACCGGACAGGGTGCTGCGTGGGACGGTGGCAAGAGTCAGGGGTTGCTGTCCCAGAGTCGCCATGCGCAGCCCTGTGCACTCGGGCAGGCCACCCCGGCTCCACGTCCAGGGCCCTGAGCCCCAGGCGGCAGCGGGGAGGGCAGGCCTGTGTCTCCCGCGCAGGCTGGCTGAGTTCCCAGCACACAGGCCAGCTTCCCGGGGGCACCGGAGCAGTCTTCTGGCGGGCGGCCTGAGGTCCGGGGGCCACGCTGGGTCTCGGTCACACCCAGTGCCCCAGCACCCAACACTGGCGGGTCATGTCTGGCACCTCCCGTGCAGAGCCCCGGGGCCAGGAGTCCCCCATGTGCGGATGGTGTCCTGCCAAGAGACGGGGTGGTCAGTACGCAAGGCTGCCCTCCTCCAGCCACGCGTCCATCGCCCACCCGTCTCGGCCAACCCACGTCCAGCTCTCTACCTGCCGCCTCACTCACCAGCTCACCATCCATGCCCCCATCACCCACCCACCTCGACATACACCCGCCAATACCCACTGCCATCCACCTCCCACTGGCCAAGGTGCCCACCCCCCCACTCAGACACACTCTTCCCACCCACAGCCCCGAACCCACTCATGCACCTCCCACCTGTCAACACACCAGCCATCCTCCTCCCGCCCCGTTAACACCCCCAGCAGCCCAACTTCCCACAGCCACATCGGCCTGCAACTGGGAACATCCTCCTAGCCTTCCACTCACCCACCCTCTACCTCACCCGCCCACTTGCCCACTTCCCAACCTGCTGCCACATCCACCAACTAACCACCACACACCCATCCACGACCCTCCAGCGTCCTGCCCCCCTCCCTCCCCTGCCCACCCATCTCCCCAGCCACCCTGCCCAGCCAGCCCGTAACCCTACCCACCGCCCCACCAGGCTTCCCTGAGCCGCACTGCGTCTCCACATGTTCAAGGAGCTGGGGGAGGGTAGAAGGAGAACAAGCGTACACAACTCCGGGCCCCAGTCCCTACGTGACCCCAGGGACTGAGCATCCGTGCATGGGTGCCCAAAGTGACTCTGAGCAGCGCCCTGGCCCCAGGCAGGTGGCAGAGACTGCACCACGTCCACCAGTGCCCACTGCTCCCAGGGGCCTGGGCGAGCAGAAGGCAGGGAGCTGGTCCCCAACCAACAAGCTCACTCCTCTCTCCCTGGGTTCTCGGAAGCCCGCTCCCTGCCTTCGCTCAAATGCCTCCTTAACGTCTCTGACATGCGGGAACCATGTCCATCCCCACGCTGCGATCTGCTAACATGTCCTTGTACCTACTGTGAATCACACCCTCAAGGCCCAGCTCACGTCTCCCCTCCTACAGGAAGCCCCCCCACGTCTCTCTGAGGCCCTTGGCTGTTTCCCTCATCCTGGAGCTGCCCCTCCCAGTGGCACTCCCTAGCGTGGGCCCCATCAGACCATGAGCCAAGGAGAATGATGGCTTGACCCTCGGCAGATGCTCCATGATGGCTCAGTGGAGGTGGAAGCAGAGAGGAAAACCGAGGGAGAGACTGGCGTGGTGGGTGGGCTGGGGGGCCAGAGAGAAAACCAACAGCCACTGAGCGTTCACGGTCTATACCCTACTTGATTCTAGCCTCACAAGCCTGGGAAGTAGCTAGCACCCATTTTACAGATGAGGGAACGGACACTCAGCAAGGATAAGCAGCTGGACTGAATTTCCTCATTAAAGACATTCGTTGGTTTTTCTACTCTGAGCTCTAATGGAGGCTCATTCTTGTCATCCTTTAGGGTCAGACAGGCTCTTTGTAGCAAGCCCCACTGAGCTGGGAATTCCTGCTGAAGCCAAGCTCTTGCTTGCATACCTCTACAGACAGACAGCTCATTACCCTTCCTCCACCCCCAAAGCCGCTCTGACTGTTGGGACAGTCTCCCTCATGGCAAGGGCTGGAAGGCCACGGGCAAAGGGGAGGACGGTTGTGCCAGTTTAGGGGGTGGTTGTGGGGTTTTGTGCTTTGATGTTTTTTCTGGTTTTAATATTCTTTAATGTTAGTGCTTTGCTAATTTTACTGTATTTTTAAAAGGGTGGGAAATATTTGGCAAACATTCTGGAACCATTTGGCCTCAGGAAAAATGTCTGTTTTGGCCTCAGCAACTGAAATAGTTGCATTCTTTGGAAGTGAATGCTGCCAAGATATAGGTGTTTGGATTTTAAAAAAAAAAAAAAATCTAGAAGCAAATATTTGACGTGCAGAAAGGTTTGATTGTTTTTTTCTAAATGAATATTTAAAAGTGAAGGTAGCTGCTCTCACCATTGCCAACAGGGCGAACCCCGGAGAGTCTGCTGGAACAGAAAGGGATCGTGCATTTTGACGGAAAAGGAAAGGCCATGATCCCCATCCTTCCTTGAGTTAAAATCAAGCTGCTTGTTCCCTGGATCCAGAAGTGGATTTGTCACTGAGGAACTGGGACCCTCCTTTTGTCTTCGGCCTCCCGGGAGGGGCTTGGGGCCCAGAGCCATTTACAGTGGAGAGTAGGGAGCTCCGTCTTCCCACCTGAGGAGTGCCCCCCAGGCCACCACAACCCCTGCGCACTTCCCATCTTCCAGTATCTTTACTTTTGGGCTAGTCACTAGCTGGGGGTGGCGGCAGGGGACGGGGGAAGCACCTGATGCTGTAGATTGGAGAATACCACCTCAAAATGTCTACGAGGCCTAACCAAATGACATAAGTGGGCAAATCAGCCATTCTTCAGCTCTGGCCAATTGTTGCCATGGAGAATGTGGGCTCAGATCTTCCAAAAAGCTCAGAGAAACTGAAAATCAGAATTTCGAAATAAAATCTCCTAGATTTTCAATACTGACAACTAAGGCTTTTAAAACATTCACAACCATCTGTGGACCAAGTAGCATCTCTGGGCTGGCCAGTTCTGACCTCTACTTCCCAACCTGCATCCTTGTTCCATGACTCTGTGCCATGGCTTTACACATTCTGGTCCCTCGGCCCGATGCCCTTCCCTGCTGTTTCCTGGTTACCGAATCCCCCACTTGTCTTTCAAATACTCCCTCTGAGAAGCATCCCACAACTTCACAGGCACAGGCTTCGCTCCCCCCCGTGACCCCACGACACGTTGCTGATCTCTCTCTCCCTGGGCTTATCACTTTGTGTTGGGGACCCAGTGCAGGCAGGGACTGGGTCTGCTTTCACCCCGGAGCCTTGGCCCCCCTCACCTGGCCACGCACACAGCAAGTCCTGAGCTGACCCTTTATAACAAATGAAGAAATCATGTGGGAGGAGGACAGAGTAATTCCTAAGCCTGGAGAATGAGCTTTGCTTGCCCTTCCTATTCTGAGATCCTGTACATTATGAGGTGCTCCTTGCTCAGTCTCTCCTCTTGTGGATACGGGCTTAGGGGGGAAAACTGTAATTGCAGTCTTGCAGTCAAAGATTCAAATCCAGGCTCCACTGCTTACAAGCTGTGTCAGTCTTTTTTTTTTTAAGCTGTGTGACTGTTGACAAGTACCTTGTCCTCTCTGAACCTGCAATGGATGTGAGTTACAAAGGGCTTGGCAGGCCCGGCAGGCCCCCTGCTAGAAGTCAGTCCTTCGTTATCCGACTTCAGATCGATGTAGAAATAGCAAAATGCCTGTATGGGAGGGGGTTGGATTCAACCACCTCTCTTCAAAGATGGGGAGCCACGGCCCAAGGGTGGGAAGAGATCTGTCCAAGGTGCCACTCGGAGGGTTGATAGCAAGTGCTGTGTTTTAAATTCCTTTGGAAGCAACTGCTTCCAAAGGAATACTCTGCTAAAGGCTTAGCAGAGTATTTGGCCCAAATGAACATGAACACATTTAATGTCCTATCTCTTCCGTCCTCACTTCTCCATAGATCAGTGGGAAATGACTGTCATGAACCACCCCCAGGGCACCAAGATCCCAGGGGTTCAAATCTCAGCTCTGCTGAACTGCATGCAGTCACATCCTCTGTTCCGGAATGGATTCGCTGAGTTGGAAGGGCCCTTGAAAGCCAAGTCTGCTAGTGCCCCCGCAAATGTGTCGAAGGGGAAATGGGGGCACTTACAGGGGATGTAACTTGTCCAAGGCGCTCTGAAGCTGGTAAAGGAATTGATGATGGTGGGCAAGTGGCTGGTATTGGTGTTTCTGACCCCACAGCAGCCCAGCCCGGTCTGGCACGGGAGAGACAGATGAACGCCACACCCCCTGCCCCACCCCCAGGCCCCCGCATCTGCTGTCCGAGGTGCTGACGGCCTCTCCGGAGGGCCCGCGGGCCCAGCCAGAGCCTACTGTCTAGCTGCCCCACCTCGAATTCTCTCCTCTAGAAAGAGACGGGATGAGGGGAGTGATGGAGAAATGAATCAAGGCTGGCACTGAGGTGTCTGGCTTTGGAGACCCTTCAGCTAGTGACACCATCGTCCCTTTTCCAGTCCTAAAATGTCGCCACCTTGACAAGGGCCCTATGGCTGCTTCTCCAAGTCAACCCTGCGCTGTAGATCTGTATCCTCAGGGCACGTCAAAGACTCTGGCATATTTAGTAATAGCCATTTACTCGATTCCTCCCAGTTTCCCCTACTAGGCTGCATGTAACGTGGGGACACAGACCAGCCATGCTGCTCTTCATTGCTCTGTCCCTAGCACCTCACTCAATTCCACGCACACTGCTGATAATGTAGATCCGTTAAATGAATGAACATGGAAAGATTTGGGAAGAAGAGCAGATGTGTGTGAGATCCATGTGGAGGGGAAGTTGGGTTTTGTGGTCTACCTTGGGGGCAGCCTGTCTTAGGAAATCAATTGGGGGCCCCATCCTTGTCCTTGCTGGAGTCCATCTTTTGGGGACCCCATGCTGCTGAGCCATGACGTGCTCCCCATCTGTTTTCCGCACTTAGGATCAGGTTGAATCCACTTAACCTGCCACCTCTCCCAGGACCACGGATTCCTTCATTCTCTTATGAAACATCTGTTGGGCACCTACTGTGTGTCAGCCTCCACAGTGGGTGCTGGGTCGGCAGACAGGAGTGAGACACCCGCCAGGGCTTGTGAGGGAGACAGATACATACGTGCGGAAGTGACGAGAGCACACACGTCTATAGCTCTTAGCGTGGCAGGAGCCATTCACTGCGCCTCATGTGCACTGGCCCATTTAATCCTCAGAAATATGAGTGAGGTGCCATTACTATGCCCATTTTACAGATGAGGAAAGCGAGGCCCAGACAGGTTAAGTCATTTGTCCAGAGTCTCACTGCTGGATTTGAACAATAGGCAGCCTCCAAAGGCCAGGCTTTGTAACCACCATAAAATCCCACCTTGTAGACGTGAGCCCCAGGACAGGACAATGCAGAGATGAACATGACCACCTCT